TAAATAACTTGACCAAAATATCACGATAAGTAAGACACAAGTAGTTTGACATCAGTGTTCAAAATCTATGTATTGTTCCACCAACAACAACAAAAAAAACCAGGAAGAAATGTCTCTCTCTCTCTTTCTCTCTCTGTCTTCTTTTTAAAACCCCAATTTGAATTGCAATTTTTAATTGCAACTCTTTTTTATAATAATAAAAATTGCAAATTCCTTTTCTAATGCAAATCACATATCCTTTTGATAAGGATATTCAATCACAGAAAAATACCTATATTTCTTCTCTCTAATATTTCCACCTTATGTTTTAATCACTCTAGCAATGTGTGCAAAAGAAAAACTGACAGAATTTACATGTCCCACTGCGTGGTTTCCCTTGGAGGTCAAACCAGGCGGCTGACCTGTATGTGATTATGCTGCCCTCATGTGACAGATACTGTGAACTGCAAGTAGAGTGGTCACCAAGCCTAACCCAGAGGAGCTAAGTAGCTACTCCTCCCCAACTGTTCACTGACCACTTTCAAAGCAATTTTCCCGGTGACATCAAAGCAGCTTTCACATGTCCTTAACTTACTTCACAGAGGAACCATACAAAGTGGGAAACTATTTAATTAGTACAAGTATTTACAATATAGTGTATTTATAGCTATTAAATGTATGTACAATTTAGTAGTAGCCAATAGCAGGAATGCTCTATTCCCTACAAACTCAATATGCTAAAAGAGAAAGTTGGTATATGATAATATTTTAAAATAATTAGAAAGGTATTGACATTTCCCCAGAAGTGTACATAATTTACCTCTTTGATCATACAACCTGACAATTCCAGCCATTTTTAAATCTTCTTGGTATTAATCTTAGAAACAAAGAACTTAAGACTGTAAGCTTAAAGTCCTCTATTCATAATTATGAGTATGCATACAGCTTGTATTGGCTATTTAAAATGTTCCATACAACAAAAACCAAGGGAAACCTCTAGTATGGTCTTCTTTCTCTCCTTAATAAACAGTTCATTAACCTGCAAAGAAAATGCAGAGAGCTAAAATTCCCCCTCAGCCATAAATTTTTATTTCTCATTGACTACAGAGTTAAAAACTAGAAAGAGCATAAAAAGTCCACCCTAGATGGCGAGGCAGCTGCCCACAGTATGTGATCTGAAGCCACCAAAAGGCCTTTTAATGCCTCCAGGTTATCTTTCAAACTGGCCTGCCCCAGAGCCTAGGACTCCTGCCATTAATACATGTTTTCCTACTTACAACATGATGTTTCTGGTAGTTTGATTTTGAAATATCAAAATAAAACATTATCTGGAAAGACAAGATACTATAAATCACAAATCTTCAGCATAAATTAATTTGTCAGAAAACATAATGTCAAAACGAAAGCAGTAAATAAGACCTGAAGGTCAAGCTACAGGGAGTATTTTATAGACAGGAGGACAGAAAAGCAGCCCAAGGGATACAGTACTGCCAAGAACAGCAGCCAGTGTGGGCTGTCAAAGTGGGGACAAGGGAAGCCAAACATCAAAAGGGACAGTAAGAAGAAGCTGAAGACAAATTTGGACTATCTGAGAATTTTATGTTACACTGGTTTTGTTGGCCCAAACTAAAATATAGAAATGACCCCATAAAGGAAAAATTTTTATCAGAGTTTACAGATTAAATCAAGCAAGGAGCAGAATAACTCAATTTGTTTCAAAGAACCTTAAAATTGATGACGTTACCACAAAAAAAAATCCTCACTTTTTTAAATAAAAAATTCTGCACATGCAAATACCAAATGGTGTTGAAATGCTAAAGCCTCTGCTGTTGAACAGATTCTTTCCCCTTTTCTTGGCCAGGTGAGGAAAGGGCCATATCCTGGTTTCAAAGATCCTACTCAATATATATCTTAAAATGTTTAGAATAAACTTAAAAAAATGTAGGAAAAAAGCCCAAAGCATAATCAGCATAATGTGCCGTTGGATAAGGAAAGGGGTTGTCACAACTATTAAAAATCTAATTTCAACCCTCCTAAACTGTCAAAGCAAACATTAGAAAGTTAACAAACTAAGTGATAACAAAAATAAGGGTTTTTTTTTTTTTTAATCTGTATAGCTGAGAGAGCAATTGTTAGTTGGTCCTTTTCTGGTGATCTCCTTTTCAGATACTTGCTTATTTGCAGCACTGTAGCTCTTCTTTCCACAGGAAATATTGATAGAGTATCTATACTCATCTCCTGGTAAACCACTTGTTTCTCCCAGTGATTATGATAACTCTTTAACATACAAAGTAAACATTCTGAGATCCCATTTTCTATACCTTCTGCTTAAATTCTCTTCGTGACCAGGAAAGACCTTGAGGAACAGTAGGACTACAAATTCAGACGTGGGGAGAAACGGTGTTAGATTCCTTGAACAGCTCTGGCATCTGAACCAGGGCAAAGAAAGCAATCACAGCTGGTGGAGCTGTTCCTTCCAATAAAGGCCAGAGCAGTGTCCTAAGCTGGGTTCTCTTTTAGTCTTTGCCCTTATTCCCACTCAAAAGACAACATACTTTAGGTAAAGGATCAAAGTTTAGTATCTAATTCCTAAGGACGATATTCAAAATATTTTATTTAAGAAAAGGCAAGGTGGTGCCCTGGCTAATAAGAATAGATTCTGAATGTAAACAGTATTTGGCCACCACACCATTCATTTCTTCCGCCTCTGCTCCATCTCAGTTCTATAGTTCTATGTTTTATTGTTCTTAGTTTTCAATTTCAATACAATTTAAATACCATAACTTAAATAATGCCTATGATTTGTAAATAAAGCCAAAATATGTGTTGTTTACAATTACAACCAAAGAACTACTTGCAACTTAGTTTAAGTTTCACATGGTCATGCAGCTACATAAAATATTATTAAAAAGAAAATCAAACAAGAATCTACAACGTTGACACTATTAAAATAGTTAACATACAGATTTCTTCTAATTTGAATAGCACATTTACCATATTGAAAGATATGTTAAGAATTTTCAAGGTCGAAAATGAGAAAATTTATAACCTATATATTTGATACTACATAAGGAGGAATAATAAATATCAGATATAGTAATATTACTAGAAAAAGTAAAAATGTATATGTAATAGGAATAAAAACTCATCTAGAATCAAATTAATGTCTACGTCTTGGTCTAAGTTTTATTGGCTCTGGGATCTTGAGAAAGTGACTCAACCTCTCCTAGTCTATTTCTTCATCTCTTCAATGGTAATAATAACTCTCCCTCTGGTCAGTTTATTGTGAAGATCAAAATTTAATCATGTCAGTAAAGGTGTTTTGTAAATTATTGTGATTCACGTGTTACCTAGTTAAGCTTTAAAATAATATTATTATCAAACTAACTACTAAAACAGTTTCATAGTCCCTCCAAGAAAAATTTTCTTTATGAACTATTCCTTAAGATATTAGAAATGTGGTAGGAATGTAAAAGCTTGACAAATGCTTTAGGGACTAAAATTGGATTAAAAAGGCGGGTAAGCTAGACAATCTCTCATCACCATGACTACACCTTTGTACCTCACACTTGAAAATGAATGTTATTTATAGATTAAGCCTCCCAGTTAATTCTCACAAGAGGATTACAAGACTGCCAATCAAGCAAAAGCCCCGGCAGGTGGGGCTTATGTGAGCTGACGAAACAGGTTGTGGCAAAGCACCTGTGGAAGTGAATTCCAGAAAAACTAACCCTCCTATATCCTAACCTTCATCCAAAAAAAAAGTATCCTCCAGGTTAGAACAAAAAATAAGAGCCTGGTATCAAATGATAAATGTAATAAGAATTCAGAAGGGCACTTGGAGTTTTCAAGGGTATCTCAAGGTAAATTATATTTGTCAATGATAACAATATTATTTTACATTCAATATTAGATTCTTCACTCAAGCTCTAGGCCCAAATGTCCATTTTCATTTAGGGCATCTCTACCTGGGCTACCCAAAGATACTTCATACTCATTATGGTCAGAAATATCACTGTCCTTAAGCCTCCCTCAGAAGGGTTTGATCTCCGTGAATAGTATCACTATCATTCTAGCCACCTGGTAAGACTTTATATCACCTTTGACTCCTTCCTCATCCCTACTCCCATCATGTTTATTAATTCATTAATGCCTTTTGCGTCTATCTCTGAAATGCCTTTTGCATTCATTCGCTCCTCTGTTCCATTCCTTTTGCCACTGCCCTTGTCCAGGGATTCACCATACTTCAACTAAACCATCTGTACAATGTCTTAACTGTTTTCACTGACTTTCTCACCTTTCCACATGTACTTTCCACATTCCTAATAGAGGAATCTTCTAAACAATAAGGCAGTAAGATTAAAACTCCTTAGCAAGGCATTTAACAAATTAGGCCATGTCTGTCTTTCAGTCTGATTTCTAAATTGATGTCCCACAAATTGTATCCTCAGTCACACCAGCCATCATTATGGTTCCCATTCCCCGAGGACTATGCTCCATGCTTCTGGGCTTTTAGTTAGTTATATGGTTCCTCACCTTAGGAAGCTCCTTTCTCCCTTCTTTAGATAGCGGTATGCTACTTAGATTTTGAAACTCAGTTCAGGTACTGTTTTCTCTACTTCCTTTCATTTGAGCCACACCTCAAACTAAGAATTTATCACTGCCTACTATACTCTTACAAAGACCTACTTGTATCTCTGAAAGAGGACTTCTTTCATGCAATCATGTTGTTTTCTCACTAAATTCTAAGTCCAAATACTGTAAGCTGTTATTGTTAGTTTGGCATCCTCTCTAATCTGTGTATGTATATATACATGTGTTTTATCTATCAGTAGCTCATTGGATGTTTATCAAAAATAGTGACTATCATTTAATGAGTGTTTATTAAATACCAGGCTCTATCTTATCTCCACCATTTCACACTATGTTGATTGAATCATTTCATCCCCAAAATAAATCTATGAAGTGGATAACATTTTACAAGTGAAGTAACAAATGCCCTAAGAAGTTAAGCAACGTACCAAGGTCAATACTTATCTGGAGTCGGGATTGGAATCAAGGTCTTTTATAATTCATAGCTTCTGCTTCCATATATGTCTCTGGATAGTCAACCACAAAAAAAAGTATAGTAGATTAAAAAGCTATCATATGAATACTGACTAAAACATAATGAAGTTTTATTGTATCTAGAACATTGGTGTCTAAAAGGCAATATGGTTGGAATCCATAAATTTAAATTCTCTGTTTAAAGAATAATATTTCCTACCTCATAAGACTATTTTGGAAATTAAATGAAATGAAGTATGTAAAATGCCTAGCACAGTACCTGGAACATAGTAAGAGTTGAAATATGTTTGTACTATTTTTTTCAGTTGTGAATAGTATAGAAACTATATCCTGTCTTATTTCCTAAGTCATAGAATCTCAGGGCAATAATATATTCTTTAAATGTATTAAGACATTGTAAGACAATTAAGACTGTAAGACAAAAGAAAGTATTGTTTTAAATGTAAACATAAATGTAATAAATGTATAAAACTCATAAATTTAATAAATTTTACAAAACTTATAAAATTTATATCTGACATAGAAAATATAAATGGATTAACTATTGTTTGGACAAAGTTATGAATGATAGCCTCATAGGTGACGTGATTAGGAGATTTATTTAGGTTTTATGGCTGATGGCAGAAAAAAACATCATCTCCGACCAACACATTTTCCCCTCCTTTTCTGGGAACAGCACCAGAGTCTGTAGAACCTGGACCACAAAGCTGATCCAGTAACAATAATAATTACTATTCATTGAGCAATTACGTGCAAGGCACTGGGCAATGCAGTTCATGTATATCAACACATTTACTTCTCACAAAACACCTAGGAGCTTTGTGCTGTTATTATTATTACTATTCAAATGAGGAAAGCAGGGTGTGGAGGTTGGGTGATTTTCCCAACATTGCACTGTTGCGAGTGGTATTGACACAATCTCAGGATGCATTTGTCTAGCCCTGGAGCCTGACCTCTAACCACGCAGGCTGTTTTCACTCAGTCTGTAATCTACTGTTGCTTTGAATTTTTCTTTTACAAAGGGAAAATTTTTAGTGTGATTCATTATATTATAAATACTACCTTCTGTTTAAAAACTCATTCAAGCAAAACACTCATTGTCTAGGCAATCCAACTTCTTTTAATTTAACAAAAACAGCAGACATAAACAAATTACCATTTATGTAGTCTGAATTTCAATACCATAAAACCAAAAGGCACAGTGTACATTTATCAGTCTACAGTCTTTTGCCTAGAATGGTCTGGAAACCAGCAGTGATGTCACTGGGGGATAGACTAACTTCATGCCATATGACTACATGGTGATGTGTTCCGGATACGCTTTTATCTTGCTTTTTAGAAAAGGTCATAAGGGTAGCACATCAAATAATATCTTTTTAAAACTTCATCTTTTCCCAAGTCAGCCACATTATCCAGTCTTTACATCTACATATTTGCATTGTCATTTCCTTGGCGATTCTCTTTTTCTAATTTGATACCACTGCCTCCTTTATAGTCTGGGTTCTCACTTTTTTAAAAAAATGGCCTTGTAAATAATGGTTCACTCCTAGCTCTCTGGGAGGCTGAGGAGGGCGGATTGCTCAAGGTCAGGAATTCAAAACCAGCCTGAGCAAGAGCGAGACCCCGTCTCTACTATAAATAGAAAGAAATTAATTGGCCAACTGATATGTATATAAAAAATTAGCTGGGCATGGTGGCTCATGCCTGTAGTCCCAGCTACTTGGGAGGCTGAGGCAGCAGGATCGCTCGAGCCCAGGAGTTTGAGGTTGCTGTGAGTGAGGCTGACGCCACGGCACTCACTCTAGCCTGGACAACAAAGCGAGACTCTGTCTCAAAAAAAAAAAAAAAAAAAAATGGTTCACTTGAAAATTCTATCCCCTGTAAAGAACTGATGTTATAAATATTTATATTAGACCTGCACACTGAATGTAAATGTGTACAATGAAGGGAAGCACTCAGACTTTACCATAACTAGCTCTCAAGTCCCTATTCTCCACCACATAAAAAAGCAGAAATGTGAACGCAGAATTCAAAAGGTTTAATTTAACATTATGGTGGTTTAGGAGCCTCAGCATCGGAGGGGAATAATTATAGACTTTTTTGCCAAATTTAGTATTTTGAAGTTGAGACAAGGTTTTCATTTAAACCTAACATTCAACTCTGCATAAAGTTTGAAGTTCTTCTCATTGTTTTGTCAGACATCTCAAATGCTGTTTCTCAGTATTTATTTTGAAACTCCAGAGATACTCACTAAAAAACACTTCTCATCTTCGGTTTATGTGCTACTACCCTTCATCTTTTTCAGCTTTGTATTTATGGTTTTTAGGCTACAGCTAGAGTCATTTGAGTAAGACCCTGGACAAATTATTCTACACATTCTTTTCACCTATTCTGTCCTACAATATTTTATTTAGATGAAATATTTAAATTAACATTTAAACTAGAAAGTTGCAAAATGACAACACCATCCATAAGTGTGTATGTAGAAGAGAAGGAGGGCAACAACCTTGATGAAAACAGGACATGCTGAATTTTGGTTATATAACTATATTTTTAGCCCCCTGAGGAAATACAAACTTTACCCAACAAAATATATATCAAAATCTGCACATATCAATTTACACAGCCCTCCATTAACACTGTCAGTAAGTTCTTGACTGTGACTTTAAGAGAAACAACAATTTTACTAATTCATATAGGCTATATGAAATAAATGTGAGCTATATTTACATATTTAAAAGATTAATGAAAACAAGATAATGATTTACCCACTTATCCAGTTCAGGGCTGTGCGTGGCCAGAGCCTATCCAGGTAGCTCAGGGCTCACGGGGAACCAGCCCCGGACAGGAGGCCTCATCTATCGCAGGGTGCACTCGGCCCACACCTACACCCGCTCAGACTGCGCAATCCGTGTAACGTGTGCACCTTTGGGATGTGAAAGGAATCAAGAGTACCCAGATGAAATTTGTACAGATGTGGGGAGAATGTACAAACTTTACACAGACGGTGGCCCCAGCTGGGCAGCGAATTTTTTTCTCATTAACATTACAATGAAACAATGTTGAAGAAAAGACATTATTCCAGGACCTGCTGTATTTTGTTGTTGTTAGACTCAAGTCTTTAATTTAAATCACCATTATGGTCAGTCAAGAAATCGCTGGATATTTCCTCCCACCTGCTCTGTAGCTTATAAAGTTATTTCTGCACAATTCTCCAATAATATTTATTCTATCCTGAAATAAAATCCAGTGCCATCAATTCATAAAAATTGCTCAAAGCACATCTAATAATTGGAAGAGGAGATAATACTTTTCCAAACATATTTGGAAAGGGACTTGAGAGCTAGTTATGGTGAAGCCTAACTGCTTCCCTTGATTGTACACATTTACATTCAGTGTGCAGGTCTAATATAAATATTTATAATATCAGTTATTTATAGGGGATAGAATTTTCAAGTGAACCATTATTTACAAGGCCATTTTTTAAAAAGTGAAAGCCCAGACTATCAAGGAGGCAGTGGTATCAAATTAGAAAAAGAGAATCGCCAAGGAAATGACAATGCAAATATGTAGATGTAAAGACTGGATAATGTGGCTGACTTGGGAAAAGATGAAGTTTTAAAAAGATATTATTTGATGTGCTACCCTTATAATCTTGGAATATTACTTTCTCAAAAATTTATTGATTTATCACATACATATGAAGAACCTGCTATGTACAAGACACCAATGCAATAGCGCTGGCCATTGAGGAGCTAACAATCTAGCAAAGAAACACCATGAACAAGTGTAACAAAGAGAGGGTCAGATAAATCATTTCCAAGTAAATGCTTTCTTTATATAGGGAGTTTAGATCTTTTAAAATAAAATCAAATTTATTTGTTTTCCTAAGTTTTATCACTCTTGGCTGCATCAAAAATGAACCTCTATTTCCTTACCTAACATTTTCTTTATAATTGCCTACACCTGGTGGTTGTTTCAATTAACCAACTTTTAAAATATAATTTAGCCTATTAAAAAGAAGGAGAATGAGGAAGAGAAGAAAAAAGAAGAAAAAGAAGAGAAGGAGAAAAGGGATTGAAAGAGAAAGAAGAGAAGGAGGAAAAGAAAGGTATCATGAAGGAGAAAAACCACTGAGCAATTAGATCCAAGGACTATTAATGGTTTTACTAATATTAGTTGAATGAATAACTCTGTGGTAAAAGTAACTGAATTATAGACTCATAATTATATTTAATGTCTATTTGTTTCCAGAGAGGTGAGCCACAAAGAACTTTTTACTTCATGAGTAATATTTTTACTAATACATAGGATTCACCTTTTCTGGGTGGAGTGTTTCATGCAACACAATGTCTGTAATGGCACTGACTAGCCCTTTTCCCACAAGTTTTCTCAGCAGCAATTTGAGGTTCACTAAATTGTAAATCCTGGTAAACCAACAGTGTATTACAATGATAGAAAAAAGTAGATATTCACTTGATTCAATAAAATAACTCTTCAATCTTATTTTTATATTGGTCAAATATTTAAGCCAGAATAAGAATAAACAAATAGCGAAAAGAAATATAATCCAACCCAATAAAACAGATAATATATTTCCCACTTATATTTTTTTAACATTTATCAACTTTTATCAATGCACAGGCCCTGTAAATATCATAAATTTTATTAATAGGTTCCAAACTATAGACTCAAAATTCAAAGATAAAAATCCCCAAAGGGGGAATAATATGAATATATTAATTATAAAGGTATATATTTCTAGTTTTCAAAGGCCAGAATCATAGATATCTGAGAGTGCTGAATTATAGTCTCCCACAGAGGAAGTTAGTCTTGAACATCTTGGAGTAAAAGGAAAGGACAAAGTTTTCAAAGTAAGCACGGAAATTATTTTAATTGCATTAGGACAAAAGAAAAGATACATAGAAATAAGGAAAGTAGAGGAAGCAAAATAATAATAGTGATAATAGATTATTAGCTGCTCACCATATACTAGTTATGGTGCTAAGTAATTTACATTTATTAGATTCTCACACTGATGCACTAAAGCCAATATTCTCATCATTTTACAGATTGGAAAACTGAGGCTCAGAGAAGAATGTAACCAAAATAGTAACTAAAAAACTGGGACTTGCTCATAGATATCTCATACTCTAAAGATAATGTTCTTAACCACTATCTTGTGCTGCCTATTTAGCAAGCAAAAAGAAATACAATTTACTCTTTTAATTTTTTGTGGCATTTTATTTTGAATTAATTTCAAGCATACCTAGAGGTTATAAGAATATTACAACAGAGAGAATGATTAAATAAACGTGATAAAACATTAACAATTGAGGGATCTGGGGAAAGAATATCCTGAAGTTACTTGTATTATTGTAACTTTTAGGTATGTTTGAAAATATTCCAAATCTAAAAGTTGCAAAAATGTTTGAAACTGTGAACTTTTTTACACATTTTTTTCCTTAATCAGAATCACTAAAGAGTAAGTTTGTAGTCATACTTCAGTGTGTATTTCCTAAGAACAAGAACATTCTCTTTCATAACCACAGTATAATTAATTGTCAAAATCGGAGAGTTAATATTGATACAATACTATTATCAAATCTACAGGCCTTATACAAATTTTACTAATTGTCTTAATAATTTCCTTAAAAGTCATGAAGTGTTGTAATCCAGAATCCTGTAATCCGGGATCTATATTGCATTTAGCTGCCATATCTCTTTAATCTCCTTTAATCTGAAATGGTTCTGCTTTTTCTGTCTTTTATAACCTTCCCATGACAATCCAGTTAGTTTGCAGAATGCTCCTCGATTTTTTTTTGTCTGATATTTCCTTATGATCAAATTCAGACTAAACATTTTTGGTAAGAATACCACAGCACTGACCACGGACGCTGTGTCTTTCTTAACATCAGAATGCAAATGTCAGTTTGTCTCATTGCTGGTGATTTTAACTGATCACTTCATTCTGTGGTTTCTCTCAGGTTTTTCCTCTGTAAATTTGATTTTTCCCCTTCGTAATTTATACATAATGTGTGGGGAGATACTTTGAGACTATGTAAATATCCTACTCCACATCAAACTGCCACACAACTGTTTTGGCACCCATTAATAATTCTTGTCTGAATGCAATATTACTTTGATGGTTACCAAATAGTGATTTTTAACTGCTTTATTCCTTCTCCATCTTGATTGGCATTTTACTCTAAAGAATGGGTTTTCCTTTTCACTCATTTATTTTTCATTCATTTATTTATATCAGTTTATACTCATAGATTCTTGTTTTATTCTATAGATTAAATTCATTATTATCATTATTTATTTTGATGCTTAAATTTTTCCAAATTTGACCAGTGGAGGCCTTTCAACCTGGTTCCTTTATCCTTTTGATATGTCCCCATGAATTTTTGGACATGCATTTATTTTTGGCATAATCTCAGGTTAATTTCATAATTTCTTTTCCAAGCAGACTTAGTTTATTTTAGCGAAGATGTTATATAAAAATCAAGATTTGAGTACTAAGTATAATCTCTGCTACTGGGGTGTCATTGTTTCTGGGCCTCTCAGAGCACATGGCTTGGAAATGTATGTATGTATGTTTGTGTATACAAACATATACATAGATAGATGAGAGAGAGAGAGGAGAAGGAAAGAGAAAGAAATAAAGAGATAGTAAGATAGATGATAGACAGATAGATAGAACAAGCCATGAATTCATACTAATACCTTCAACCCCAATCCAACATGAAAAAAATTCACTCTAATTTTCTCCCAATCCATAGCAGTCCTCCTATCAACAATAGTGAGACACTAAGCTTCTTTTACTTTCAATTTATTTACTTATTTCCCCAGCACATAAAGTCGTAGCAGATTTCTAACCTGCAACACTACAAACAACAATCCTACTTACTGGAGTTCAGTATTTGTGTACAGTTGTTTTGGTCTTTATTCTTAGGTTGAGTTTTCAAAATATTATATAGAAAAATTACTTGAGCTTATTGTCCCCATCTTCAATGTGGTTGTATTTTTCATTTGAAATGGTTTCAGTTGTTTCTGTTCATATTTCATTTTGGATTCCCTTGATTCTTACTATTTTTACTTTACTTTGTGGATACAGTTTGAATACATAAAATATTACCATGATTACAAAAATTACAACTGCATAAAAAATTATATTTTGCCATCACTCTCTCATTCCCAACAAATCATTCTCATGCATGCCCAGTAGGTAACCAATCTTAAGGTTTCTGAGTTTTTCATTCCTGTTTCTTTTTGAAAAAAATAAACAGATACATGTGTATTTTTTTTGTACCTCCTTCTCAAATACACAGAAGATAGTATGCTATATACTGCGTACAATTTTAACTTTGCTTTTCTGACTTAAAAATATATCCTCCAAATCACTCCATATCAATCTTAGAGATTGTTCTCTTTTAAACTTCTATAGTACTTCATTGTATGGTGGTATCATAGTTACCATCCCAATCTCTTATGGATGAATATTTACATTATTTCTAATATTGAACAATTATAAACAATGCTACATAAATAAATTTGTGCGTATGCATTTTCATATAGTTGGTGATACATTTTCAGGATAAATTCTCAAAAGCGTAATTGCTAGGTCAAAAGGTAAGAACATTCATAGTTTTGTTAGATAATATCAAATTTCCCTCTATAAGTTCTGTACCAATTTTTATTCCTACCAGTAATATACAAATTACTATCCTACATCTTGACAACAGTATATGTTACCAAGCTTTTTGAATTTTTACTTCTCTAAGTCAGAAATAATATCTTAGTATAATTTTAATTTCTCAAATTCTTATTTCTCATATCATAAGTAAAGTGGACATACTTTCTAAGTTTAAGAGCCATCTGTGTATGTATACATATTTTATATATAATATATAATAAATATAAAATCTATGGTGTTAGAAGTCAGGATAATCATTACTTTCAGAGAAAGGTAAGTGGTAACTGGTAGCAAAATCTAAAAATTCATTGAGCTTAGGATATGTGTACTTTTTGAAAATATTTTAATAAGGGATTTTTTAAAATTTTTAATTATTATGGGTACATAATAGTTGTATATCTTTATGGGGCACATGTGATGTTTTGATACAGGCATATAATGTGTATGAATAAAATCAGGGTAATTGGAGTATCCATCACCAGAAGCATTTATCATTTCTTTCCATTAGGAACATTCCAATTTTACTCTTTTAGTTATGTTAAAGTATATCCTAATTTATTGTTGATTATAGTCACTTTGTTGTGCAATTAAATATTGTTCACTCTAACTATCTAACAATATTTTTGTATCCATCAACCATCATCACTTTATCCCACCCACTTTTCTACCCTTTCCAGATCCTGGTAACCATCATTCTCCTCTCTGTCTCCATGAGATCAATTGTCTTTTATATTTAGCTCCCATATATGAGTAAGAACATGTGATATTTTTTCTTTTTGTCCTTTGCTTATTTGATTTAACATAATTTTCTCAATAAATTATATTTTTAATATGAATGTCTTATGTATATCCTTCAAATTAGGAGAAGGAATTAAAGAGATTAAAGAAAATATAATAAACTAAAAGGAAGCTTGGGAATGGGGGAAGAAGACAAAAATATAATCAGAAAAATGTCATTTAAAAAATCAAATCACATGGAAAGCATAAGATGTTAGGAATTAAATATATCAGTCATCACAATAAATGTACATGGACTAAATTCTCCAATTATAAGAGAGACATTAGCAAGTTGAATAAAAAAGACAGTATATACTTATATGCTATTTACAAGCTACATGCATAAAACATGAGGATATTACAAGTAAAAATATGAGAAAAGTGATCTCAGGAAAAAATTATCAAAAGACCTTGAGACAAAACAAAATTGTCATATATAAAGATGATTTCTACATATGACAAAATGACAATTTACTAGAAATATTTAACAATTCTAAACTTGTATACACCTAAAAATGAAGCCTTAAAATACATAAAAATTGACAAGAGATAAAGATAAAATGTTAAGTTCATAATTATTGTTGT